ATTTTCCTTAATTTCCGTTTTATTCTCTGTTCAAGCAAGGTCTTTTCTGAACAGTTGTCTGAAAATATGCTGTCTAAGGATTTTAAAGAGACCAATCATAGAGTTTTTATCTGACTATGCCCTAGTTAAATTGACAGGACTCAGCATTCTGTGCAATGAAATGAACACAGTCTCAGAGTCCTCTGCTTTCAGAAACTCATCTGTATTTAAGACAAAGGATTATAAATTCCGACTCAGAAAATTCCTTTGACTCAAATCCCTTGCAAAACACCTTAGCCATGAAGGCCTTAGCCACACAGCCTATTTCCTGCTGACTTGCAATAACCTAGCAGATTAGGAAAAACAAATGCTATGCTATCTATCCTGAATAGGCTGCAAACCAGCAGTGTTTAGCTGATAGATAGTAAAGTCACACACATACCGCTGGATCTGCAGAACTAATTCTGAAGAAAATTGGTTCGGGCTGAGAGATCAAGCGTTTCCCGGTGAAAAAGATTTATAAAAGAGCAACATGAAGACATAACAGTGTCCTGGCCCTGAAGTTAACAGTGACAACAGTAACGACTGGTAGCTTTTATGTAAGTTTTGTTATCAGCAGAAGAATTAAAAGAACTCCTACTCTTCCAGTTCTATGCTGGACAAAACTCACATGCAGCATGAGACTGAGTCTCTCTAGGAAGGTTTGTGCAAGGACTTGTCCCGTATAAGATAAAGCCAGAGGTTATAGAAGCATAAAAAAAATTGCTATGTTAGGCTTCTGCTCAGAGCATGGCTAATTTTGAATCCACAATCTGGTTGTTCAGGGCTTGTCCAGCTTGGAAAATTTATGAGGATGATGATTACACTGTGTCTCTGGGCACGCAGCAACCCTTCCCCTGGCCCAGTCCTTCTGGAGTCTGACACCAAGGTGACTTGTTAGGACAGAGATGTCAGAATCCGTGACAGCACATCAAACCATTTTAACAAAAGTAATAGGATGTTTTGATAACTGGAAAAAATTACTTTTATTACTTTTTTTTTTCTTGAGTGGACCTGACAACTTAATCTCTGAGTCTGAAGTTTACAATTTGAATTAGAAATGATATTACCCTTAAAATTTCTTGCACATTTTTAATACAATTAAATTAGTATATGCTTAATTTTAGAGATTTTTAAAGACTTGATAAAAAAGAAATGCAACTTTTATCAGCTGTTCTAATTTTCCACAGCCTCTCTAGCTGGGAAACATGAACAAGAGCAAGATCATACTCGTACTCAAATCTACCTATATCCTTCCTCAGGCTTAGATTTCTTAAAATGATGGCAAGGTTCAGAAGTGTTGGTCGTGGGCAAATATGTGTTAAAGGCTTAGGAAATCTGACGCTCTACTCAAATTTACCTGCACTTTCATCCTTTTTTACTATCAGCTCTTTTTGTTGGGTTTAAAGAAAGAGCATGTCTAAAGAAAGGCAGCATTTTAGGGTGCAGGATATTAGTTTGAACAAAATATCTGCAGAATGATAGTAGTAGGATATGTATAGCATACATTTTTGGATACTTTAACAAGATAAGACAGAAATTGTGTTAGAAAGTAGTGCTTGAATACCTGAGCAAATAGGTCTGTAGTTGTTTTGAGCCATATTGAACTAATTTGTTAGAAAAACACAGTAGTAGGCATAATGTTTCAGAGACAAATGTAAAATTGACAAAATTCCTTTAAAATATGCTTAAGTGTAATTAAGAAACAACTGAAAAAAAAAAGAGAGATTCAGTTTAGTAGCAAAAACACTGAAAACAGAATTTGACTGTATGTGCATACACACAGAAAAAGTACTTCAATCAAATTATACCTATAGAGATATAAAGATGTGATAACATTACTGATAACATAGGAACACTTAACAAGTCTTTAATCTAAACAACCAGATATTACAATACTCTGGAATGTAAGACTTAAGCTGCAGCACCTAAMAAATCTGAATCTCTCATTTTGAACACGTTTTTATTTTTAAACAGAGCTGCTAGAAATATTTTCCTAAATCTTTATGCATCTTAGGTAATTAACTTATATTTGTTTACTTTAAAATAACAACAAAACCTCACCTAATGAATAACAAAATCTAAATATGAATAAAAACACTATAAAACGTATTAATATATTTTTTCAAGACAGAACTATGTGTGTTTTAAGTTGGTATACATATTTCATGAACCTAATACAAAAAAAAAAGTATACCTATGAAACATGACTGTATTTTCAAATTGTATCTAAATCATTCTTTTCTTATTCAATGTGTTAAGAATGATTGCCTAGAGTTTACTAGAGTTTCCTTTAAAAAGCAGTATAAGTCAGTATAATGTGATACAACAGAAAACAGCATCAGGATGTATACTTAGTCAAACTGAAAATGGATGGCAGAACAATTTTGGAGATAAAATGGTCTTCATATTAATGGAAGGATATCTCCAGTGACCAACATTCATGCTTTGTTACAGAAATACCAGAAATACCTTTTTTTTTTTTTTTTAAATCAGTTCAGCAATCAGCACATGCAGTTCATGCCAAAGACAGCTCCTAATTGCTCCTCTCAGGTGGACAGACAGATGGGTCTTGAGAAAGCAGAATGATGCAACTCCTATAATAATTTTAAACAGTTGTATCAGGGCTCAACCCAGCTCCATGATTGGGAAGTTTCACTTTTCATCTTTCTTCATCTCAGTCATATTTTACAGAAGACTTTCCCATCTTTCTCTAYGCCAGGAGTAAAGACTTGAAAGATTGCAGTTTTACAAAGCTGGACACAACTTAYATATATTTTAGATATAACTTTATAATTTAGATATATTTTTCCSCTTACTTACTGGCAACCCCTGTAAGGTCGGATCTGGAAAGTTCATTAACAATTTTTTTGAGTTTTTACATTACTGCATTTGAGTTTATTGTACATGCAAAAACAGRAATAAGCTCGCCACTTGAAAAACAGACAAGATACAATAATATTTTCTTTATCATTACTCTTCCAGCCATCTTGGCTGCCATTAAGTTATCATGGGAAAGTGAAACCCATTTTGCTACTGGTCTGGATTCTTATAAATAGCTCCTTGCTTCTGCTAAGCTCATGTACCCCAGAGGAAAAACAGTTTCGGTTTCATTGTGGACCTAAGATTTTTGTCTATCTCAGTATTTGGTAAATTTGACTGCATACACAGCTCTCCACAGGCAACTGCTGCAAAGTAGTTAATGGCAAAATAAAGACCTACAGATGCTGGTGAAAGAAAAGGGGAACTAAATTATTACACCATTTTGACTCCTGTCTTGAAGTCTTGAAGTTTCCAAAATTCTGGTCACTAGCAAGGTCTTTTAAGTCAGCACTTGAGCTCTCTTTCAAGTAGGTGAGTTCAAAATCTCGGAAATATCTCTCTGCCTTAGCTTTATAAGAGTGAAGACAATCTGTGCTTACATTATTCTTTCCTAGTAAACATTTTTCAAGAAATATTGAGATGAGGAAATTCAGGGGTTGTTGGGAAATAACTAATGGGCTGACATTCTTTTAAGCCATAAATCATATCTCAGTGATAGAGATGGTTGGGTTAGTTGTGCTTTGGTAAAACTACAGATATTCTTTATGGCTTTGAATAACATAAATGCAAAGAATGGATCTAGTATTAGTAGCCCTTTTTATCATCCTCATGTGAAGTATGCAAACTGAGGCCAACTCATAGAGAAGCATAAACATATTTCCCTTAAAATTCACTTTGAAATTGAAGAATAATTCATAAATCTTGAAAAGAATCTCCTGTGCTAGAGGAATCATGAATCAGGTAGCTTGAAGTGCACTAAAGTCATCAGTCAAAAAAAATACCAGACTGCTGCCTCATCTATTGCTGCCTTCTGTGCTTTCAGCCTTAAATGCATAAATGGACAATCAAAATATGTGTATTCAGGTTTGTTTCAGAATAAAAAGCACCAGCCATTCACAAGAATATTTCATCACTGCCACAGACATTAGAAGCCATTAGGCTCAGCATACAAGTGGCTCAGAATCTATCACCTTTTTATTTTTTTCTCTGTTAGAAAGATATTTATTCAAAGCAAATGCGTTACAGGAAAATCTCCCTGTCTGCCTGGCTTCCCCTTGGCGTTACCACTGATGATAGAAAACATAATTATATGGGCCATGGAAAATGTTTGCTTTTTCTAAAGATCATTAAGTTTTATTAATGTTATTTTTCAAAAGCATTAATTCCTGAAACAAGTAGCATGTACAAGTAAACTTGGACTAGCTTCGTTTTCTATTTTTTTTTTGGTTGCAGCTGTCAGGGGCAAAGACTATATACGAGCAAGTGCTTCTGTTGAGGTGACAGTGTGTGAAGCATGAAATTTAGCTGGATGTGGGATGTTAGATTGTGTCCCTCCACATTATTTACTCTCTGCATTGAAGCATTAGAGAGAAGTTGTGGGCTGAAGGGTTGTTCAGGAATGAGCTCATGGTAAATGCATCCATTACTGAGGAACACTCACTCTCTTGCTCACATACACTAGCTTATCAATGCACAGGAAACTCCAGTGAAAMCAATTTTAATAGACTTTTTTTCTACTACCTTAGATACAACTTCTATATACATATATAGAAACACATACGAAATATTTACTATTACCACCCACCTTCTAACCTCATAAAAATACGTAAGGGACTTTTAAAGATTATTGCCTTTCCAGCCTTATGGACATATCTTGGGACAAGTCAGGCATTTAAATATAAAAGACTGGTTCCTCATCTTTAATTTCATGTTATCCCTATTTCTGGCTCCTAATGAGTCATTAGATTCAAAAAATGATAGCAATCATTATCATAATTGGATATGTATTTCATTTTGGCCATCAGCTAGAACTCAATATTTTGGTGATTGTATTGAGACACCTAAAARGGACAAGATGAGAGAGCAAGAATACACCAACCCAATATTCAGGCATGACCAAGATCTTGCTGTACAGTAGGAGGAGCTAGATAGCTCTGCTGGCTCCTCAGTACTGAAGAAGCACTGAAGCTGACACATGGTTGATTTGTCCTCTCRTTGCTTGCATTTTTCAGTCACGCTGTCTGTATTTTAGCTGCTGCTGGGGTGTTTGGTGTTCACGTTGGAGTATTCTCTCCTGAAACATGAAAAGTCATCAGTTTTAGAGAATGTACTTTACTGACGGCATATTAGGAGGAATAGATAGTTGATAGGGTTAAGTTTGCTCTTGATTCTTTTGTTTTATTTCTGTCATCTTAAGGATTTAATTTCTTGTTCTAGTCTCTGTCTTTACAGTTTTATCGATTGCCACAAAATTCCTGGCATTCTTACCTCACTTGCCATGAATGAACTGTATATCTTTCAGGTTTAGTTCTCCCTATTGTWCTGCACAGAGTAACATTAACAAATGTTTTAATTAATATGATGAAGGCAGAGTGAAATCAGGATCCTGCTAGTAAGGGCTTTGCATGTAACATTTTTTGAGAAATTATGATTAGAAACCATAAATCAAAGTCTATGCACAAAACTATAAATAGAAAAAAGGGGAAATGGTTGTCTCCAAAAATAGATCTCTTAGATATAGTCATGAATGATGGTCATGAAATGAACACTGGATTTTCTTGTACTTGGCCATTATTAAAAGGTGTATTAGCAAGATGATTATCTTGTCATTGTAAGCTGCCTTTCATAAAGCAGTGCATTTTTTWAAAAAAACACCCTTATATAATGAGAACACAAGCCAGAAACAAAGCCTTTTTTTTTGTACTGGTGATGTAGGTGATCAGTCAGCCATTCTGTATTTAGTGGACATATCAGTTTTAYATCCAATTCCTTTGAAAGTGCCATTCCATTCTTTGGGGTAATAGAGTACTTGGCTTTCCAAATCTACAGATTTAAGAGAACAGAATTGACCTTAGACCGAAAAGGAGAAAAGATTGTAAGTCAGTTTTTGAATATATACATTTAAAATAAAGTTTTCAAAAGAGCAGTTTCCTACCTAATACATATACCTGACAGGAGCTCAGAAACAAGATTATCCTATCCTTTGCCTCAATGATGTGTCAAGAATGTCATGTATTCATCATGAGACATTTGCTGGCAAAAGTCTGAGGGAACTGCAGCATTAGTTCTGAATTTCCTACTTCTTGGCATTTGAATTATACCATTTGGACATTATTCAAAATCCTCTGACGCAGATACAGCAGGTCCCATCCAGTGAAATGAGATAGGTGAAAATCTACTGACAGAAGAAAAAGGGACCTAAAATGTTTGATTACAGTGAYGTGTAGCTGCTTCAGTCATTACAGTGTCAGAGCAAGGTTATGAGACATTTCCATTTTTAACAATGTTAATGAAGGGCCTGATGTCCTTATTAAATTACAGTCCAATAGATTTGTCAGTCTTAAAGATCTCACCTTTTTTGCTTAGAGAAATCCACAGTAATGGGATCTATCTTGGAAGTTAAACTGAATGCTGCTAGTAATATCAGTACTAATAATATAARTTGTACAACTTGTCTAGAATCCTTGTCTAGGATTTTAAAGTGCAACACTGTCACTGGCTGAAAGATTCTGAAGCAAAGAAGCAAGTCAGTGGGCATTTGTCCTGTATTATGATCCTGGAATAAATGACCGTGCAAAATGTATATATCAGAATCCAAAAAATCTGATCYTACGTAGGATAAAAACTGCTCTTACTTTTAAGAAATTTTAGAAATTATTGATTTTACATTATTATAAATTCTTCCCAAAATTCATAAATTCTGAGGTCTTGTAAGCATTCGTGGTACATTTTTGTCTTGCAGTTTATGTGCATATTCATTCACATGTAACCCTTCATGCATTACAGAAAACTACCTGCAGAAAAACAATAGCAGGAACAGAAGTGAGAATTTACACTTTCTCATCCTGCTTAGTTCAGYGAGAACATTGTGATAGTTTTACACTCGTATAACAAAAAGATGACATCTCTAACCATTTTGTTATGATTTATAAAAATTATTATCAGCATGTTAAATAAGTACAAATCACGCTTAAATACCTTTTGGAATGTCTACATGTATTTAACCAGCTTATTTAAACTACTAACTGTTCAAGTCTAACTGAAAGCCAACAATTAATATAGTATACACTATCTTAAATCTACACTGATTTTTTTTTCTAAGTTTCAACATATGAATTACCAATCTTAACACTGCACAATGTTTTCTAATAATAAATTTCATGAACTGCAATAGAACCTGTAGAGGACAATATTTTATGGGCAGGAGTGGCCTATTCAGTTTTTCCATTTTCCAGTTCACATTTCATACTATATGTGTTTAATACTGGTTAAATAAAAAGCCAAATATTATTCTGAAACTACTTTAGGACAAAGATAAATTATTTCCAAATGCACAAGTTGTTTCAGCCAAGATTATAATCCATAATCTTTAACAACCTGCAAACCTTTAAAGTGTCCATAGTCAAAGTATGTTTTCAAATAACTTTTATGCATCATAACAGTCTACTTAAGTCAATTAATGCATAACTGTTGTAGGTTACAAAGCAATTTTTAATATCAAATATTAAAGTAATAAGAAATGATTAGACACACATTTTTCTTAGAACTGACTGTTGAAAATTTCTCCAGATACAGTTTGATTTTTCTCTGATTTTTCTCCTTTTTTTTTTGTCTGATTTTTCTCTCTTTTTTGTTGTGTAGTTTCATGGAGGTGTATACGTATTTTTTTTTTCTGTTCTTTTCTTTATAGACACTAGTGAAGTTGAACTACAGCATGCCTTAAAGATAAAATGACTAGGATGATAAAAGGCAGAATGGTTTCCTACTACAACTATGCTTTTAATGTCTAGTTAAAGTAATGTCAGCCCATTAGTGAGGCTAGAGTACATCTTCACCACCTCATAAAAGCAAATCTCTTTACCTAAGAGCTCCATTTAGTAAGGTACATCTGGGGAAAAAAAAAAAATCAAAAGATTGTCATCTTAAGAGCACAGAATTGAGCTACATATTACCGTGTATTTTTGATTTCCTTTTTCTGTGTTTAAACTTGTCTATTTACCTATAGAATTCATTTTCAGATAGAAAATAGTATAGAATACTATAATCTTTATATACATCCACTTCAAACATATTATAAACCAAATTATACTTATGTCTATGTTTTGTATTTGTTATTTTTATGCAACTGTGTACAAATACATAAGCCAATGAAGATGAGGAGCATATTTTAGATTTACCAGTAGAATTTAGCCATGGGGCTTTGACATTTGATCTTTGAATAATGCAAAAGGCGGAGAGGCGTCACAAAAGCCAACATGCTGAATGCGAAGATAACCAGAAGGAAATGCAGATGAGAGGATTTCTGGTTTACCTTTGTATGTCTGAAGGACTTAGATGTCTAACTCTGCACTGGAGATAGATACTTACTTTAATTTGAGTTTTACAGCCCATATCTTCTCCTAAAATTAGAATCATAACTCTTGCAGGGACATTTGATTCCTACCRCTGTACCACTGCTACACCACTTCATAATTCTTTCCTGTAGTATAACCTTTCATATATTATTCCTTGGAAAAAAAAATCTGCTTCAAAAGTGATCAGATGTCAAGTAAGAACTACTTGAAGAAGAAAAATTTGAGAAGTACAACAGTCACAGTAAATTTTCCTTACAGGTATCATAAATTGTGCATGCTGCTATTGTATGTTGTAGTTTCCAACTGGGTGATATCTTATACCGYCTTTCTATGTGAACATAGATCTTTCTTATTTGTATTTTCGGAGTAACTGCTTGCATGTCACTAAGATGAAGATATGAGTTCTGCACAACAAGAATATATCTGGGAGATTAAATACATAATTTTACGTCATTTTTCACATGTTTTTGAGATCAGAATTTCAGAATAGCAACTATTTTATGATCTAAATAATATATTTTTTGAATATTATCAGGTTTCTAAATATACTATGTAAATAGATACACTACATATAAATAGGTACATCATTGCATCTTTTTCTGTAGTTTATATTTGTTTAAATGTCATTTTATTCTTTCATTAATTTAGTTTCACTCSCAGTGAAGCATCCATAATTTATTTCCCATATGGCTTTAAGAACCATGTTCATACCTGAGTATATGTTGATTTCATCAATCCACATATACTCTCTATTAAAAGCTGCAGAGTAAAGACAGGTCACAGTTACACTACACRACATTGATGATGAGTTTGGTTCAGCATGTAAGCAAGTACCGTATTGCAAGACAATACCATATTGTTCTATGAAAGGGACATGTCACTAACTGATGATCTAAAACTCCTTGAATATTTAAGCAGTAGCCATCATGATAAAAAAATAAATAAAATAAATAAACAAATAAATAAACCAAAAAACCCTTAATACCTATTATTTGTTAATAAATTCAAGAACAAAAGGCCTATATTTTGGCAATGTGTTGAATTTAGCAATAAAGTTTATGCAACATTATCCTCATAATAATAAAAGGTGCTTAGAATTCAGTCCCATGAACATTTCTATTAACTCATAAAAAAAAATTTTTTGCTAATGTCTTCCTGAGCATGGCAGATCAGAATCAAGCCCACTGCCATTAAGATCTGACAGTGTGCTATGCTTATTTAGCAAGCTATACCAATAACATATTTAAACTATTTTCACATCAGCATTTTATTTTCTTTCTTCATTTTGTACCTTTTTCTTTTTTTTTTCCCCCATTTAATGGCTCTATCTAGGAGCCCTGGTACCTCTCATCTCCCTATAAGCCATAAGCATATGGATCACCAGTGCACTGGTTGAATACAATCATTCTGGGGCCTTCATTTCTTCTGCATGCTGTTAACAAGAACAAAATAAATTTTGAGAAAAAGAATAAAAAGTGCAGTCAAAACACTGTACTCATATTCTTTTAGACATACAACGTTTCTGCCTAAAACCACAGCCACTATAGCAGTAAGTTTTAAGCACTTAAGAATTTGGAATTATGGGAATGTATTTCTAGCAAAATAAAGAAACCCATAGTACAAAATGAAATTGATGGCTTTTTTTAAAGTATTTTTAAATGGTTTCTGTGAGGAGGGCACTTATTTTCATTTACAAATAGCAAGCACTTTGAGTTCTAATTACTCATGATTATTATAAAGGCTTTCTAAAATAAGATGTAATAGTTTAGACCAGCAGTTTAAAGAGCTGCTTGATAAGTTGAAATGAAAAGTGAGAGTATGAAAAATACATTTCATTACTGCCTGCTGCCTCAGTATCTTGGGGCACTATGTTTCCAGGGAAAAATATTGCAAATAAAGTAGCCCGCAGAGCAGTTTTATGGCAGATATTTTCCCTGGGTGAATATAGCAATTTGACAACAGTTTCTTCCACATATATGCCTGTTGAATTGCAYCACATTTGAATGTCACTTAGTGAAGGAAATGAAGAATTGCAAGACAGGGCTGAGTCTCGGTGGATGTTAGAAAACAGGAGTGCTGGCAAGGAAGCAGTTATTCATTTGCAATAAATGGGGAGCATGGTATGGCAGACAGATTGGATTCCTGCTTTTGGGGAAGACCAGTAAAATATCACAGACATGATGCTGTCACAACTACAACTCCAGCTCGTTTAAGCAATAGCAAGATTGGGTATTTAGTGGTACAAGCTATATAAAAGACTTTTGATTYCCTCGGCTCTCCAGCATTATGCAGAACATTGTGGGGAAGAGACCAGCAAGGAAATTGCTGTTTCTGCATTGGTTAGGGACTGCAGCTGCTTCCTTTACTCTAGAGTTACTTATAGATTGYTAGGACTCTATTCTCACAGAGTTTTCCCAAGAAACAGCACTGCAGCCTTTAAAATCTGTTCAATGGTTAGTGGCAGACATGATCTTTCCCTCTCTTGAGTTACAGCAAGGAGAAACAGTCCTCCCCTCCCAGCCTTTCGGGTAGTGGAGACTCCAAGTATCCCATGGGTAGGGGAAAACCCACCTGAGGTCTTTTTAATGTCGCTTCCCACCATAATGCTTCCATTCCACCAACTCAAGTGCTCTCATATCCAACCCTCTGCCTAGTAATTCCAGGCCTTTATGAGCTGTGGAAAGAGAACAGAAGGAAATCAGCTTAACTTTCATTTTAGACCTTAWAAACTCAATAGAGAGCTATATTGTACATTGGAAATAGACTATTTAACCTGAACATTGGCAAACCAAGTGCTTCTAAGAGGGAAGGTTGGAACAAGTTTGCTCTCTAGGTGTGTTTTGTACAGTTCTTTTTGTACTTAAAGACAACACTAGCTGAATGCTGCTTAGTTAGTGGTCCCTACATGAAATTCCTGTGATCTGCAGCTAGTAAAACAAACAATCAAAYAAAATACTTATATAATACTTACATAATTAAGGTCTATTTCTCTTTCTCCTCTCTCCAGAAGATTGATAGACCAGGGACTAAACACAAATGAAAATACTAGAAGAAAAAGAATTGACCAAAACTGTGTTTCTGTCAAAACAGTAAGAGTAGACTAAAAAATTACTTCTGGTGTTGGAAGAAGTCATTTTAGGTGGACAACTTGGAAAGGAAACTGAGAAGGGGGCCTGGAAGTATGGCCAAGGTGCCAAGAATTGCGGAACTGTGACAGTATAATGCAGTAGAAACATCAAACAGAATAAATGCAACTCTTCTTCTCCTTCTGGAGTGTAGGTAACTGCAAAAGGCTAAACGTTGTTATTCAGTGGAAATTGATGCTACATTTCTTTAGTTGGTGTTTACTTACTGCCTCTGCATGTCTCTGGTTGTCATACATTTTTATAAGCACAATCATAATTGCAAATAAATTACAAAAGAAAAATATATTAAGAAATGTGAACAGGCTCTGAGAAAGCATTGGGTAAAGTCTGTATGAGAATAGAGACAGGACCACCTGGGAAAAAGGGGGATTATGCAGTAAATATTTTCTTGTAGTTGTCATGTTTATGCAYTGGTTTTATTGCTGCTAATCAAAGAGTTCTGGGTGCTTGTGTGTTYGAGACAAGAATCTTGCTACTGCGACAAATATAGCTCTGCCTGCATGTGCTGAATATATTCCAAACAGATGTCCTATTGCACAGTTAGAATAACTGACTAACCAAATGGGATTCTAACAAYTCCCCATCAGCTGAACTTAAACAAGAGAAGTACTCTAATTTTTTTTTTTTTTAAGTGCATCTGAAACACCTTCTCAACACCATTGAGAAATTCCATACAGTGTCATGATTTCAGGAAATTACCCTGTAATAATTTTTTTAATGTTTTAGCTGCAATAATTTTTAATAGTGAAATTTTTAGTAGTGAAAAATCCCTGTGGATCATGACAGTTGTGAATGCAGATTTTTGAGCCTAACTGAAAGGAATTTCATTTTAGTCAGTATCATGTCTGCTTCTGTTTGGTTAACTGTTTCTTTTCTTTGAGATTTATTTGTTTTTACTAAATTGGCATGGGTCTCTGAAATGATATGAGGCTTAAATAATAGGCTCTTAAAGAAATGATACATCTCCTATAACAGCAAAAAATATTTGTGTGTTGGGGCATACTTTCTTGTCCACCTTACAGATAGAACCACACTCTCCCAAATTTTGTCATTTCTTAAATAAAATATTAATTTTTTGATAAMTGTAACTCTCCATAAATAATTAAATAGAGCTTTTTATGGAGTGGAATATCAAGATAAAAATTTCTCTATTACCTAGAAATATGTGTTTATACTAGCAATTTCACTTCCATCCAATTTTATCAGAGGACCCCAGCCTCCTGATTTTGGAGGAGCAAACCTCTCCTTCAATCTCAAACTTTTCACCAAGATCTGCTCCAGAAGACTCTACAGACAAGCACATCAGGAAACTGTTCAGATCCTCCTATCTGAGACAGCCTTCCAGCACTATGTTCAACACACCTGTATGTTCACACGTCCTTGCCATCTCTCTTTCCTAAAAACCTTGCATGCAGATGAAGATCCCGTTCTTGCACATTTAGGCTATAGAGCATAATACGCCTATGACTTTTTGTAAACTTAGAAGGGGGAAAAAKWAAAAAAAACTAAAAAACACCAAATGTGACCCACAAGAAACCCCTCAGCCCAAGAAATCCAGCTGGATCCAAAGGACACTCTCCCAGGCCAGTGAGAACACAGGCCAGTTGGCTCAGGGGCTGTAGTTCTATCTACAAAGCTTTACCAAAAAGACAACGAGACAACCAGACCATATTACAACTCCCCTGAAAATGAATTACAGTTACACAGAGCAATGTGTCCCACTGTAGATAGCTGGCTGCTTACACTATACTATTTTCTCTATACTTACTGATCTTAAATCACAATAAAGAATAGAAGAAAATACATATTYTCCTGGAGTTTCACAGCCAGTCAGGTCTTTTGCATAGACAAATTTGCACTTTTGACCAGACAGGAATTACATGGTAGAAACAGGAAGGGTAGTCATTTATATGCTTGTTCAGCGTGGATGCCTGCACCACATCTTGACACATCAAATAGACAGTCCATCAGACACCACTCGTGGGAGATAGACGTACATGCAGACAAAGGCAATTTAAAAAAAAAAAAGTAAAAAAAAAACCACACAGAACTGGGACATGTGGACTGTATGTTTAGCTTCTGAAAAGAAAACACATTGAAGAGGACTGGCATCAGTTTACAGAATGCAACTTGGGTGAAACACTGTCCCAACCTTTTGTTTTGGAGATGATATGTATAGATACGAACATGAAATTTCTCGGTCTACACCAAGTAAACACACTTCAGGTGCAGGGAAATGTTTTGCAGGAAATGGAAATATATTTGCGGGATTGGAAATAGTCTCTCTACATATTTTGTAGAAAATTTTAAAAACTAGGATGATTTCTTTCAGAACAAAGTGGATTAATGCATAATCCTCACACTGAAGAGCAAGCAGCAGATACATCCATGTCTTTAGATGAATGAATGTCACAGAATTCCACAAGAAAGGCGTGCAAATAGTGTAATATCTAACTAGAGAGAATTTTTAATCTCTTTTCATATGTACATTCCTTCATTTATACATTCCTTCATTACAAAGGATAAACTTAATTTAATGATGTATGTCTTAAGTTATGTTTTAGTTAACCAAATAATATCATACTGAATATATTAAGAAATAATCATTACTCAAAACAAGCTTTCAACCCTGTGTTAACACAACTGTTGTTCTTTTTTTTTTCCATAGTACAAAAAACTTTCTATTAAAAACATATATTGATGGTTTAAGTTTTAATTTAAGATGCAATTATTTTTCATATTTGCCAAAAGTACTCTTTTTCCTTACAGTAGCAGTGAAAAGATTGTGACGGAGTGGATGTGGGGACTCAGCCAGGCTCTTAGAGAAATATAGTTCATTTATATGATAGCAGATCTAACCAGAAAAGCAAGTGATTAGGAAAGTCTTAACAGAATAAAATAAAACTAAAAAAATTTCCACGTTCCAAATGACTTACCAAATCCCCAGTCAATTACACCGATGCAACTCTTCTAAAATCTATGTGGTTCTACCAGATTAACAAAAAGAAAAATGTCACTCATTATAAACAAAATCTATATAGATTTTGGCAGATCTCTGGGGGAGAAAATTCCCTGTAGATTTTTATTGTTCTTAGTACTAATTTATAAGATACTACCCAGTGTTGTCCATAAAGAATAAATATATCCCACAATAGATTTTTTTCTTAATTATGTCACATACTTTCACTAACAAAATGAAGATCTCACAGGGCTACAGCAATAAGATAATGGCTTAGCTGCTATACAAACCAGCTCTCTGCACATGGCTTTCTATGGGAGAGCTCATGCAACAGGGTGCAAAACAGCACTTAGCAAAGGAAAATGCATCATAAAATTAGATGCTTAAATAATCTCTTCTATGTTAAAACACAAAGGAGGAATTGTATTGAAACAAAGTATCAGGAATTTTATAAGCTAAAGAAAAACTATATCTAAAGTATACTTCTGTATTTATATGGATATATACCCATGAAAGTTTTATCTTTGTGAGTTAAGATGTGCCAGAAGAAARCATTTGAAATACTCACATAACACAGACAAAATACTTAATAGCTGGATGATTCCTATTTCTTGAATGGGCAAAGAGGAAGGGTACAAGGATGCCTCTGTCATACSTTTCGTAGAGACTGAAGCCAATAAAGTACCTGCAACATCTTGAACACTGCCCCTGCTCCCTTTTAGCACAATGCAAWGCACTGCCATCTACTTTTAAGACTCAGGTAACAGAAAAAATAACAAAGTTTTAGGAAAACAAGCACCTAGCACTCAGCAGGCAAACCAGGGGTATGCAGAGYGTCTCTTTTTAGCTGGGAGTATTGCAGGTGCATTCTGTTGGTAGACTAGGAAGATGAGGAAGCAAGTGTGCCTCATTGAGGTTAAATGACTTAATTCTCCTCCCCCTTACACATGTTTATATTTCCATTACTCTGTTTGCTAATGTGTAGTTTTCAATTGTGGTTCGTTTAAACCAAAGGAACACCAGACCTGTTTCTGTTTGTATAGCCTGGAGACACTCAGTTTACACTTTGTCTTAATGATGCTGGCTCTCTCTCTTCAAACTAAATAGAGAAATGAGCCGAAATTATTACTTCGCACTTCATTCCCAAAGAATTCCAGTAGTTGAGGGCTTCTTGGAGATGACCTACTAGACAGCTCTTCTCACGCGACCTGTCTACCAAGACCCAATACAAATTAACTATCCCACTTGTAGTCTTCTCTGATAGATAATGCAGAGGCCAGTCATGAAAACCACTGCCATAACACTTAATCCTACTTCCATTAGAAACCACTGTTTTGCTACTGATTCCAAAGCTATTCTTTCAGGACCAGCATGACAAGTGAAGCAACACAAAGTGTGTGACTACCACGACTGAAATGACTGCATGCTTGATATTGCTTCCACTTGATATTTTTTCACACTCAACTTTTCACTGAAGAACACACCAGCAAAYAAAAATTCTCAGTCCCAAACATAATGAAAATGCTTACCAGTCTCAAGTGGCCAGATAAGCTGAGTACTTTGTTTTTTAGTTCAAGTGTCAGCTTGTTTTCAATCACTGTCAAACACTCTGTCACATGGGTTGCCCATTATGTGAGCTACAAGATGAAATGTTTCAATACATAAAAGTAAGGTGAATGATTTTCTAATATTTATCTTTGAAATCATCAAAGTGCTTCTCATGATCACTGTGTTTGCTTATAGCCATTACGTTTTAAATTTCCCCTTATCTTCTTTTTTTCTCATACTAATGTACATACATTTGAAAGTGAAGACATTACTAACAGAAACAAACCTTAAAGACTTCTTTCTCCCACACTTTTATCTCCATTTTGCTAAATAAATGCACTTCAATGGCAACAAATTAGCAATGCCCTTTATGTAGTGAGCTCATGAAACAAACAGGACCTATTCCTTTTTTTTTTTTTTTTTTTTTTTTACATTTTATCTTTTTCTTTACCTCTTAGAGTGACGCTCTGAAGGAATTTTGTTTGATCTAAGTACTGACTGGCAGTGCACTGATTACCTCAATAGCAGCACTCTGAGGATTCCTTAGAATTCCTTAGCATTTCATAGGGAAATGGTTTTCCTCTGGATTCTTCTTTTTTTTTTTTTTTTTTTCCACCTCCTCGCCTTCATTTTTCCCTCCCTGTTTGTTTATGACTACATGAAAAATAACAGCTCAAGGCTTTCACAGTCCATTATTTACAGGCTGTTGTTGAATGTAACCTCTAAACTAACTCTTAGGTATCCTCTGAGGCACTGAAATACCGTTCCAGTACCATTGGAAGACATTCAGATTTTATTTAGGCAAGTGTTCAGTGTTAAAGTTCCTGACTATCCCTTCAGACATCTGTACAAACTTTTTTATATTCTTGTCTTTAATAAAATATGTATTTTATATTGGATTAGAGAATATTTCTAGATAGATATTCAAGTATGCCTTTCAAAATATAGATTCTTCTCCTTTATATGTAAATATTTATTTCCAAAGATTTCCAAAGAGAAAATAAGCTGGTATCCAACATTAATTTGTTTATTCTTATGTACTATTAGTGCCTCACACTAATTATTATTGAAGCAGCTGCTAGGAGGTAGTGACAAATATGACTAACATGACCATTTCATGTTAGTCTTCATGAATCTTTTGATTCATAGATCAATTTATTTTTTGGCTTAACTGAACATACATTTTTGCAAGTCAGAAAATGGTTTTCTGACTGTCTTTAGTTTGATCATTTTAATAGGAGATGAGAAATAGAAATTATGAAATACARTCTCAAAAGAGCTGACCTAAGCTCTTTCTGGTTTATAGTAAAACATATATCGGCACTTCTGAAATGTCTAGACACAATATAGAACCTTTCTGTCCATGGAAGGATTAATATAGTACAAGGGAGTCAGAATAAACACTTAATTCTATTTATAGAAAAAAGAGGTCTTTGACTGACTCCCTGCCTAAAGTTAAATTTCATCTTAGCTGCGGACACTCCATTAAATATTGTATTGGCCCATTGTCCAAAGCCCCAGAGGCATGTTAAAATGCAGGGGAATTCAAAAGAGTGCAAAGACAAATGTGCATTTTGTATCTTTCAGCCAAAGAACAGGACAAATCATTTCATTAGACCTGTTCATGCAGATTTTCCCTGGCAACCCTGTACAGTAAGAGGTTGCTTTTAGTGTTTTAGCTTTAAAATAATGAAAACAGGACCTAAAAAGAACAGAAGCATTTTGATACTGGAATAACCAATTATTACATTTGTTAAATTATCAGTTATAAGATTGCAGTGCTAAGGTGTTAATTGTTAAAATAGTTCATTTCAGAAAAGTCAGACTATCTTACAGGTAAGCTGGGTGTTATTCCAAAAGATCAGACCTACTGTAAGCATGATGAATAAATTGAGGGCTTTTCTCTCAGTTAAGTTCTGGCTTTCCTAGACCATTGTTTTATAATGGGCTTTCTATTTCCTCTGTTGACCTTATATTGGTCTATAGTCTCTTTTTATATGAAATATTTCAAGGCTTTGAAATATACACAGAAAGGTCAGCCAAACAACTTTAACCTTTGCCCAGTAAGAACGTAGAAATATGTCAGATAAATACTGACATAAACATAAAGACAGCRGGGTCATAAACTTGACCTGATGGTATGCTGTACCCTCTGGAGGAGAGATATAATGTGACCACAGTGGAATATAATGTAATTCAATTCCTAATATGTTGTAATGATCAACTAGTTGCAGCAATACTCATTTCATGCAGAAATTTTGTTAATAAAATGAATGCAGGTTCATTAAAATTTAATATGTTTTACTCTTATTAGCAGGCAAAATTAAAAGTTAAAAATATGAGATTATTTTTATTTTAAGTAAAGGAAGTCATCATTTTCTATTTTTATTTTAAGTAAAGGAAGGCATCGTATTTCACCTTCCTTAAGACAAATAATCAGTCTGTTTCTTTTGACATTTGCTGTTAAAACTAGAAACAAATATGAACCAATTTAATTAGGATTTCACTGAAGAAAACGAAAGTAGCCGATAAAAATTACATATACTGTAATTCCAATATGATTGTACACTTGGTAAAATGGCTCTTCCTTATTTCTAGATGCAAAACTTTAATTTTCCCAAAGTGTTTTTATTCCTACAGATAAAAAAGGAGGAAGAAATTTACTATGTACCTCTTATACTCAGGCCTCAACCCATTAATTTTCCAAGTTCTTGGGAAATCTGTGCTRCACCGTTCCCTATGCAGGAGCAGCTGGTTCTATGTGCATAGATGATTTTAAAACTTTGGTAGTGCTGTTCTGGGGCTCTGTGATGAGCCCTGTTTGAACTGCATTTGAAACAGACATAGTGAAAATCTGTGTATTTTGGCTGAGGGACCAAATGGATCCACAGCTATTCCTGCARGTGACTTCCTTCTGCTTACTAGACATGATACCCTCACGACCCTGCCCACTGAACGCTGTCCTTGGAGAAATCTGCTGGTAAAACCAGCCTGACATAACCCCAGAATGAACTCTGGTTTACTTGGCAGAAGCATGCCTATTTCTTTCAAAGTTTCATTTAACGGAACAGATAAAGATGTGCAAATACTCTTCCCTGTATTTGCCAAGTATTTTAAGCTGCTATGTGAACCTCACTTAACACGTTCTCTCCCAAGGAGCGAGCTCCAGGCTGGGCACTGCCAGGCAGACTGGGATGCCTGCTGAGCATCCCCGCTCCTTCTTGCCCTTGCATGGCAGTGCCAGTAGAGCAAGACCTTCATGGACAGACATTTTCTGTACAATCAAAATAAAAAAGCATGATTAAAACTGTGGTTGCTCTGTGGCTGTTTTTGGGCAGACTGTTTCTTATTCAGATAGGCTCTTCTCCTTTCTTGTCAGGTTTCCTTAATACATGTTTTAGTAAGTAAGCTATTCTAAGCAAGCACATAGCCTCATGTACAATACCTTTAGCAAAGAACAGAAGCATTTGCAGTTTGACAGTGAGGAAAACCACTGCAATTACTGTGATATGCTCAAATAGTATCTTTTACCTGTATAAATAGGTTCCTAGCAGAGTCTTCCAAGTTGCTTAATTATTCACTGGTTGGTATCTGATGCCGGCAACAAAGGAGGCTCAAAGAACAGATATTAAACCTAATATGCTCAGTAATTGGGTTTTAGCACAGAATCTGCAGGTTAGTTCGATGTGAGAAAATGTTTCCAATCCTTGTACTGTACTGGGGACAGGTGAGTGCTCTTCTTTTTTCTTATTAAAGAAACCTTTCAGTGTCTTCCTCAGAGATCACAGAGCCTGCAGAAAGTGCATTTAACTAYTAGCTAACTGCTAACCTGGAACAGTCTGACAAAACAGGGAGAGACCTTGATGAGCGAAAGTATATAGGTCTGTCTTTTTTGAGAAAGACGGTTGTAAAGAATGGAGAACTCTAAAAGGCAAAAGAAGTTATATCACTTGGGCTTTTTCCCAGCTCAAATGCAGGCTGGAGATGACTTTCATCATCTGATGAGGACTAGCCCATGATTAACCCAAGGCATGGCTGCTGGTAACTGCCTAGGTCTTCATTTGACTGCTTGCAGGGCTCTGAGTTGCAGATGTTCTTCCTAATTTTGGGGGAGAGCTAACAGATACTGYATTTTATTGCTCGCTTTTAAAGGCTGAGAAATCCCTTGTGAAAGACTGGTGGGAAATGTGTTTGTGTGCTAAAGCACAGAAGTGAAAATAAGTGATGACTATCAAATAGATCAGTCTACGGAAAGSTTATTTGTAAGAGTTATGACCAGTTCTTTGGTCCAACTTACTCTTATGAGAGTATAATTCCTCTTATGAGAGTAATGACCTTATTTCAAATATAAATTGAAATATGAATAGTTGAATAGTTTAGACTATTTGCATTATTTCTGTTTGCAGAATATGCTCAGACAAGGTATGTCTGCAGGGAAATTGTAACACACTGTCAGTCTCTAAAGCTGGTTAGTGTTAATGTTTTGCGTATTGGAGATTTTTACTCCCAGAAGACAGACATCCTAYGTGGTGCTTCAGCTTGAAACAGAGATTCAAAAAATGTACTGGTATAGAAATTGCCTCAACAGTGACTAGGCTTTTCGGTTGATATTACAGCCAAGCTCTCTACACAAATGGCATGATCAGTCTTAACACCAGATGGTCATTTTTTCTATTTTTGTAATAGCTTGCTCACTCTGCTTAGTCCTTGATGCTTTTGGGGTGTTTTAAGGTAGCACACTGATGTGGAAGTTTTCTCCTAAAATGGAGTGCTGCTTTTGAGGGGGTTTATTTTTCATCAGTTTGTTTTATCAGAAATATTAACATTGCATATTTTCAGAACAGGGCAACACTTTAATAATACTGGGGGACCGGACATCTACTTCTCATCTCTATCTTCTCCCAGTGACAGATTCCTTTTACTTCTTTTTCTTCCCTTTTAAGGGAACATTAGCAATTAATGATGGTGCTGAATAAGTAGGTTACTTGATGGAAACAATAACTGCAGGAAGTCAAAGACTATGCCAGCTTTCTATTTTCCTCCTCAAGATTCATCATGTGACAATCCTAAAATAACTTCCACTTGCTTTATGTTCCTTGGCAGCTATCCATGCGTACTGGACATTTAGGCACTTCAGTTCTGCCCTGAGTTTTACTCTAGAAATGTCTTTCAAGTTATATATTCTTTCTTCCTGTCATGTCATAGAAGGTGGAATTCAAAAGCATCTCATCATACAAGAAAAGTAAAGTTTCCCATGGAGAGAATGGGAAATGAGAATAATCATTTATTCTAATCCTATACTTTAGAGACTTTTAGACTAGTCTTTTTTTTTTTTTTCKCCCTTAATATCTTCTGTAGACATAAAATGGCTCACAAATATGATGCTCAGAGTTAATATCTTTAAAATTATATCCACTCCATTATTTAACATTATTTTTTAAACAATTTTTTTAATCAGGTTTCATCTGTTCCTGGTCCCATAGYAAGACTTGGTGGCAGTGAACATGTTCTTAACAGCCCTCTCTGAATGGTGGCAGAAGCATTTGTGTGGGAAGCTTTCGATTCTCATCTTCTTAAAGAGATGACATTGGCTGGGATGGGAATAAGAGCTTTGTGCCCTCTTCTGTGCAATGTAAGAGCATTTTACTCTCTGTGGATCTGTCTTTAYGCTGATATAAAATATTTATGGTGGTTTTGGCATCAATCTGAAAACAAATGGAGTTTTAAGTCAGGAATAGCAGACCCTAATACCTGTAGCTTTTCTGCAGAGGAGTGGAGGAAATGCACCATATGRCACATGATTTTACATATACTATAGTTTTGTGGCAGAAGAGAGAATACAGAAGATCTGAAACGACAGCTTTTATTTGCTGAGGCATATATATATATGCAGTTTGAAAGACTTTCTTTGTATATGACTATTGGTCATTTAACTCCGAAGAGTTATAAAGTCAGAAAGGTCAAGATAAGGTCTTTTTCAATTCCCAAACCAAACAGACTAATGCTTCTTGAAGAGTAAGTGTGAAATTTTAACTAGTTTCATCAATATGAACAAGAAGAAAAATGTATAAAGTAGCCTACTTCTCTCAGATTCCAAACTAATTCCATTTATGATATTTTTAAAACTCTGATTTCAAAATACAACATATATTAAACTGGTGTCTGCAACGGTTTTTCGAAAAGGAGAGAGTAGTTTTAAGTACCATATAAATTAAGTAGATTTGAGCTACATAATTATTTCATATTCTAAGAATAACTTATAATTAATTAAATGTCAATGTAATTTGGAGTGATTTTAGCTCAAGTGTGTGGCATTCATACTGTTCTATGCAGTTTTTGAAGGCATAAAATTTGAAATATACTTAGAAGCGCTATTAGGTTGAAGTGATATCCTATTTATGAAGTCATCAGGGGTCCCTGTTTGTTAAGAAATAGGAGAATGTTTTTAAAAAGCTTCCTGTTTTTGTCAAGTTCAAAGTTTCAGCTTCTTTTCAGAAATGTAGACAGTAGAGATAGAGGTAAGGAAACTGATAAGAATTTTTTAGTCCTTCAAGATGTTAATTTTCATTTGTTTTTAGGAATTCTATGCCTATTTATACTATAAAATAAATACTAGAGTTTATATGTCTACCTTTTTCACAACAGAAAGCAAAATTTCTTCATTTCATTTTCTGCCACAGTTTAATACTCCATAGAGTATTTTTGAGTACCATAAAGTATTTTCCTCAGTTTCAGAATCATGCATTTTACAAGGAAACTTCCAGGAGTAATAAGACTGAAATTCCCCAGCTCCAGCAACCAACATTTTACTGAAGAAACTGAACTAAATTGCTCTGAGTCCGTCTTTTCATCTCTCATTAGTAGTTGGCTCTGAGAAGTCAGTTCTATTGAGATTAAAATTTTGTGTTCAGTTCTTCCAGATTTGTCCCTCACATAACTCAAAATTGTGCTTTAGAGTAAAATATATGCCATGAGCATATATTGAGCTATGAGTATGAGCAACATACACATAGGCAAAATTTTGCAGAGTCCCAAAGGGCTTAATAGTGGAATAGACACTAACATGTTTAGCTCAGTGAGGACCGGAAATCTTCCTCAGATTTCCAAGGAGCAGAATACAAGGAGAAGAGAATACTTTAACAGAAAAAAAAAAAAAAAAAAAAAAAAGTGGATAGTAAGAGAATTTAGGTAACTGAGCAGGGATTATGAAGGCTATACTTTTGGAGTTTTGCAACTAAATAGGGTATTAGAAAGATATGTCTTTATATTCAGTTCACACTTCAGTTGCCTGCTCTTGAATTACAGAGCCACGGTGATTAGATGTTGGATGTACATAAAGATTAGATGATGACAATGTCATTTCTAAGAGCTGGTGCAGTAGTTCTCTTAAGTAAGGTATGAAGTAAAGAAAGATATAAGTGCCAAGTATTGTCTGCTCAGTTCAGAGGGCGAAAGTCATCAAGTTGCAGGATCAGGGTTTCAGCTGCCAAGTAAATAAAGTTAAACTGAAGCACTTGTTTTTACAGTTTCACTGTTATGAGTACCCAACCCAGACAAAGACTACCTTGGGTATCACTTCATATACTGAGTTCACATCTTCATCTCAACCAAGCATAGATGTAATATGTCTCTCTAAACTCACATGACTTAGACTATAACCTAGGGAATTACATGTGTATAAGTTATGAGGACAATCACTAGCTGCCTAACCAGGAAGCAATGAAATTGTCCTTTGAAAGTTTTTAGAAGCCATTGCCTGGATTAGAGTGTCTACTTCTGCTGTCTTCAATTTCAAAAGGATATTGGCCAATTTAAAAGCATGCAGCAGGGACTCTCAAAAATGTGAAGGTGACAGCCTCCCTTTCCCCAACTAAAATTACTCAGAATTGTATCAGTGGCAGGGAAGAATGCAACTTGTGGGGCCTTTCCTGAGCAGCAGAGCCATGCAGTGCCTAATGGAAAGGGTAAATTTTAATTTGCTTATTTTTGCTTAATATAAATTGCTCATATTTGCTTAATATAAATTTGTGAAGAAGGAAGCACTAAGTACTGTATTAGGCAGATCAAGCAAAATATAATTTATGATTAGATTGTTGACAAGTCATCACATTTAATGCCATTTCTTCAGTTTATAGTAAACATAATAGGTTTTATATCCTTGTGCTCCTGCAATGACACAACAATTCCATTATTTTTCCTCTCACAAGCAGCATTCATTGCTATCACATTGCTGCCAATTCTAAAATATTGGGAAACAGGATGAATGAGAGAGAGGGAGAGGAAAGTGGAGATGAAGAGAAAAAGACACAGTGTGGGCAAGTTTTTATCTCCTCCGCTTTCACTGAAGAAGGAAAAGAATTTCAGTCTCCCAGAMACAGAGATAAATACCGTTTGAAAAAGTACCTGGCTTATTTCATTAGACAAAGGAATAAAACATTGAAAATCTACAAACATTAATAACTGGTTGTTTTCAAACAGTGGAAAAACCTGACCATTCTCTTTGAAGTATAGTTGAATCAAAAAGTAGCTCCAGCATTTACTCCAAAATATACCTTATTCCTTCATTTCATCAAACCTTCAGATATCTCTTGAAATTAGCGTTATATGTAGATGTTGGATCTGGTTTTAGAGAGTGTGACAGCTCTAATTAAAAGTGCCAACAGTGCAGATTTATTTCAAAAAATCATGGGATTAAATAATAAATATGCTATATTATACTTTGGGGGAGGTTTTTTTGTTTTAGTTCCTTAGYATCCCTATTGCATATGCAAGTTTTATGACTACAAAGACACCAGCTGTGTTTTGTTTTTAAGAGATTGCTACCCACTTAATGAAGTGAATCTCAAATATCACAAGGATTCTAACAAAACACTGCACAGTAAATGTGAAATCATTTGTGATATGTGTATGCAATAGGCTGACTACTGCTCTGGGAGTAGTATCAGCCTTGTATTCTGCTACACATAGCATAGGTGACTTAGGATCTGTTTGACATTAGTGTGGGCAGTGCTGTGATCAATGAACTATAGGAATGCACTCCATAATTATAAAGGAAGTAGAATTTATTGCAGATAGAATTCCTAAAAGATATATTATTACTAAAAGTCTCAGCTTCGGCATGCAGTATGTTCAAGAATCCTGCACACGGTTATATACTAATCGGGAAGCACTTTTTAATTAGATTCTTGTTGTTCCAGCTGTATTATGTGCTTACAATCAATAAAGCAATCATTAGTTTAATAATAGGAATACACATAGCTCTCGCTCATTYTATGTAAAGAATAATCTCTATGGAGATTCTGCCTCAAATTACCCAGTAAAACTACACACAACTTAGCATACGTGGTGTTCCATGGATTCTGCAGTTTGGATTTTGACACTTCCATGGTGATAAGTGCCCAGAAAATTAATGGCCCAGGACTACTGATGATTGGGCAAAGTGTCTATTCTATAGGAGAAGGAGATTTCTACTTGGGTATAGGAAAYATGGATGGCTTTAAAACGGACTTATATATTGTGGTCATGACTATGATGATATCACGTAAATACCCTAAACATTGTTTCTGACACATGCCTGGAGTTCCACAGGGATTCCTGACTCTTTCCTCAGGCTGCCACAAAGGAATGAGGAGATCTGCTGGGTTGCTGGAAGGCTGTCAAATGGTGGAGGGGAAGCAAATAACATGTCAGACTCTCTTGTTTAGGAAGTTACTTTCTCCTTTCCAAAAATAGTCTGAAAAAAGGAACAAATAAATACCTGCTGCCTGTGCAGGTAGTAATGATAGCAGCTTCTACCTGAATTAACTTGACATTCCCCTCACTTGTCTTCAGCCTAACAGTACACTTACTAAAGCTCATGAACTATGTATATATAATGACATATCAAATATCCCATGAGTGCTGAACTATCTGTTGAAAGAGAGCTGACCTGATGCAAAAGTAGGCTTTCTAATTATAATTTTAGGAAATAGTGGATGTAATAACTATGTGGTCATCCGTTGAGAGAGGTAAAATTAAAGATTATATTCTAATCAGCAAGTGAGAGAGAGAACTCTGCCTGTTAGAAAGCAAAGGAGTCCTCACCCAGGAGCTTTGCTCCATTAGGAAAGCCCTGGTAGATACCACCATAGCCCTCTGGGCATTTTGCTGAGGCATCTATGACAATTACAGTGTCGCTGGCTAAAAGGAGAGAAATGATGCTCTAAAGGCTCTTTCCACTGATTACCAAGAATCCACAAGCATATTTGTTAAAAGCTGGGTCAATTCTCCAGAGGGGGTCATTCCACAGGGCTCTTCAGTGTTTTATTTTTATTATGCTGAAAGAGCCCTGTCAATTATGTGCAGCAAAACACTCATTCAATTAATGCTCYGTGCCACTGAAAAGTATTTTAAATAATTTTAGGCTTTCTGCATCATGGCCTAGTTTTCACACTGCACCTAGACTACAACCTTGTTTGCTTAATCTAATACAATTTATTTGCTGTTTGTAACGAGATGTCCCTTAAAAACTACATCTGATTTTTAAATTCAATTTTAGGGCAATTGGGGATGAAACATGAATAGAGACTAAGCTGGGAGCCAAAGACTATAATTCTTCCTTTCAGTATGAAGTTTTCTGTGACTTCTGACTCAATAACAGRCAGCTTCATCCTGTCCTATTTATAAACAGAGTCTCCATTGACAAAACAGTCTGTCACTAGCTATTTAATGCRTTGTGATGATGATCTATATGGTATTAAAAGCATCACTGCTGTGTATCCCTCTGGGAAAGTGACTGTTGTGAATTATAGTGTAGTCCTTGTTACGCAGACTGGCTTCTCCCAYGAAAATAATGCTGTTGTTTGAATAACAAATAGGGTCCATTCCTTCTAAATAAGGTGGACCTCCTGTGGCTATATCCTACGACAAGTAGGCTTTTCCTCCTTTAGGAAAACTTCAGATGATTTTGACTAAACCTTTATTTCTACTAAAATGTAGGATATTCTGTGAGTTTTGTTCCCTTTCACAACAAGGAAAATATGTTTTTACAGAAGACTCCCTTCTTCCACTGCAATATTGAACAAAGTCAAAGCTGTTATGGACAGGTGAAATTTTCTCAGTATCTGACATTTTCAGAGATATATTCCCCATGACAGCTCTATTAACGTACCTCAGAACAAAATCTGCTTCCTGTACACAAGCATTATATTGTTGGATGATGTTCAGATATTTATGTATTTAGATGACCATAACTTTATCCTGCTTGACTGCTTGTATTTTTGTTTTGTGTGGTTTAAGTTATCTAACCTAAGCATTTTATTTTGCAGGTCTTCCTGATATTCATATTTTTCTGAGGTCCAGGACSAGGTTTTTGTAACAAGCTTCCTAATTGCTTAAATACCTAAATGCTTAAATTCTAACTGCTTWTTTACCCACTATTTTAAGCAAAGTTGTTTACAAGTACTCTGAATACAATATGACTCTCTATATATCCCAAGGTATTCTCACTAAGATATCATTCCACCATGTCAGAAAATTGCTYGTAGCTAAGCTTTGAGTGTTGTCACTCAGAAGTGCAGGGGTTTTATGMCTATGCATTTCTAATGTCATGTGCAAAAGCATCCAACCCTTGTTGGAAGTCAAGGTAGCTATCACTGCTCGGCCTCATTATTCTAATCCCCGCATCTGCAGTGCTTATTCTGTCAGAGCAGAAAATATCCAATTCTCCATCAGTTTCTTGCTCTGAGCAGTTGTTGTCCTTTGTAACGCTGAGCTAAAAGCTGATTTGATAATTTTCAGTCCCATCACCCTAGCTTGGTAAAAATAACAAATACCCAGTAGGGTAAAATATAATCTGYGTCTATCACAGAAAAAGTGTTTATGTAATAAGTGTCGCTGTCAAACTACACAAGCTGTGCTGTCACTCCCTCAAATCGACTGTGTTTCAACAGCAGGAGCCTTAATGTGCACAGAGCTGGAAGTGATTAGCAGTCACCTTGTGCAAGCCTATGTAACCTATGCAATACTGACAGCTGCTGTAGAGCTCCTGCTATTGTTTGCAAACAGAGCCATTTGCTTTGACTCTGGCAAATATTGAATATTTATTTGATTATCCTATAAAGATACTCAGCCTAAACGTATACTCCTGTTTTGGGAAAATCTTGGGCTAGCTGGTAASACTGATTAAGGCCTTTTATCAGTGAAAAAATGTAAGAATTCCAGTATTCTAAATATAAATTGGGCTAGTACACGTAGCAATATCTTTGTTAGGCTAATGTTATACAATGGTCGGAGGGCAATTGTGCTGCTTTTCTCTACTAATTTTCTTTACTCAAATGCATGCCCCATGATATCAAATRAAGTCCAATAGTGAGGAAAATTTTGAGAGTATTAACAGGAAACCTAAAATAGAACTTAACAAAAAGGAAAGGAAATACTAACTTACCTAAGAAGTGAGGTATTGGGGTAGGTTGTGAAATCCAGTAAACTTAATAGTTTACTTTTATGTATGATTTTTAAAAGACTCTAAGAAATAAATATCTACATTATCTATAAATTCAATTATTGCTAGCAAGTCTAGACTTACAGAATCACAGAATCACTTGACATATATATAAGAGAAAAAATAGTAAATGATGTTTAAAGCTGCCTGGCTAAAGCACAGCAGAGCAGGACTCTAGTAAAAYGCGTCTAGGCTGTTACTATTATTGTCCCGCCACAAAGTCTTTAAGAGAACATTTCCAATGTTTTTTATATATAGTTTAAATACACAGTTCCTTTTCACAGCTTGAATCCCTTGYTCATTGCTTCAAGGACCGTTAGTAAAACGTCCTCTGTGCTATAGTGTACACACAAATAAATCCTTGGATTTTGGTAGTGATGTATTTCTACGTGGCCACTCTCAGTACCCTCAGTTCAATGCCACAGAAMCACACCACTACTCCCAGTTTTACTGGCTATCCTCACTATCTTTGATTGCTCACACTTGAATCGGGSCATTTACATCAAACTCTGCAGATGTCATCAAATTTGACCTACTACGAATGAGGGTCAAATAGGGACTTCTGGAATCACATGGGTTCCCACAAGCCAGACCAAGAAAACAGAAGGTCATCTTTCAGGATGCAGTGGAACAACTTCTTCCTCTTTTGCAATAAAATCAGATGTTGAGAAAGCTAGAAGCATATTTCATTTCCTACCATCTATACTTCTCAGTAAATGCTGGGAGTGAGCCCAGCAGGACGCACTCCTTGCTGGACTGTGTTCATATTGATCRGTCTTGGCTATACAGTCTGCTCCCTGCAGAAGCCACCATACCGCTTTAGCACTGCAATAACAATTTTGGCTATGAAAACTCATCGATCTCTGAGCAACTGAGATGGAAATACACATATGCAAGCACAGGGGAGATGTTGCAACTTCTCTGCTGCTCAGAATCTTAGTTTGGGACACATCTCACCATTTGCTATGTCACTTACCTTTGAAGTGGTTAGGTTGCTTTGTGGGATATGGAAGACAACTCTATGGGGAAAATGATTATAGATATTTCTTTCACATTGCATGAAATCTGATGAAATTTTAAGTTTTTTGGGGAAAAGCAGCCGCAGCCTGCAGCTGAAGGGATCTCATTTGGCAGCTAGAACATCTGACATTTCTGCCTCAGGAAGCACACACGTACGTATGCGGCGCACGCTGAATGAAGCTGCCAGGGCAGCACAAGGCTCCTCTGTGTTTCCCAGCGCGCGGCGGCGGGAGCGGGCGGYGCGCGTCCCTATTTAGTGCGGCCCTATTTAGGGCCGGCTGCCCTACTTCCATTGTCTGCGGGGCTCTGCCTTTGTCTGCGCTTCTGCATGTCGCTCCCATGCTAAACGTCTCCTGCAGTCCTATTACTTAAGCTGTTTTAAAATGAAGGCCACTTTTCTCCATATTTCTTTGTTGCTGCTTAGATATGTCTAAACTGTCTATCAGACGTATCCTGAATGTCAGGATGCTAGCTCTTTTTCTGTATAGGTTTGCTTGAATTCCCATCTCCTTCTATCATAAGAAGATAGTTTGTAGAACTATCTTTTAGTGTTCTTGAAAGGGAAGCAGGAATGCAGATGTCTGCATGTGGCTTTTCCATTCCCCTTACCCATTTCAGATCTATATTGGTTGAACTGACAGCTGAGACCTAACAAATGTTCCTCTGCTGTCTTTTACCTCACACTATGGAGAGTTAGCTCATTTTCATCCACAAAAGGTCAAGGGGCCTGAATGTGTCATGGTTGTTTTCCTTTCCTTGACAAATTGAGAGCTGAAACTTTTTGCAGAAGGCTATGATTTTGTCATATATATTGAAAGCCTGCAGCCCTAATCTGGAGTCGATAAATCACAAGAAAATATCAGAAAAGTAAGTGACTAGAAAGGTCATGACTCAGTATGACTCAATTTTCAGTATGATATAATCAAGAAATGGGAAAATCAAGAATGCAAATAACCTGTATGAAACTTGGTTCTTTACTGAATAGATGTGAAGATATCACTGATTTTACTGCTGAAMTATTTCTCTGGACATGCACACCACACTCCATGCTGAAGGGCATTTTCTAACCTGGCAAGTCTTTCTGGTGAATGCTAAAACACTCCTAACAGATATCTACATAAAAGCATCTACTTTTATGAATATGCAGAAGAAATACAGCAAAATATTTCTGTCACTGAATGTACAACATCCAGGTAGATCCAAGGTAGCTCCAAGGTGGATCTCCAGGAAGAGAAAGCCAGCTTGGGAATTCTCAACAGTATCAGAGTTTTACTGTTCTTTCACCAAAACTGTGRCTTTTGAAAATTCTGTGGCTCTGTAGGAGCATAAAAGGAAAGACTGAGGAAACTCCTGGACAAGAACTACTGCCATCATGAGGTTGAATTTGCTTCTCCTTGTACTCTTTTCATTTGTGCTCTTCAGATTTTGAAAACATGCACTGTGGAAATACATTTATCATCTCAAAAATGAATACAGTAGTAAAGAAGAAAAGTTACTGCAGTGTGAAGTTGTTAACATTGACTATAATGAAGAAATCTCATTGACTGAAGGATCCTCATTGATCAAAAAGMTGTAAAAGGCTAGGAAATACACAAAACCATTTATAATGATGTTATGTGATTCTTACAACCATTGCAGCCAAAAAAATAACGAACCGAGAAAAGACTATATTTTCAAGTGAGCAGAATGTTTGTAAATATGTTTAAAGGTCTCCYTTGTTATGAATCTCTGGTGTTTTAATGGGTTGCTTTGAAGAGATGAGGCATCCTAAGAAAGGAAATGGTCATGTGTTAAGAAACAGCTTATCAAAGCAATAAATACTTTCCTGTGCATAAACATTTTCTCTATTTAAAACTGAATTAGCGTCCTGACATACACAAGGGTCATTGTAAAACATGCTGAGCCACAGTTATGCTTGGAAGACTGTGCTGAACTCTGAGAAAGTATGTAGCTAGGAGTCATGCAGACTTCATATAAAGGAAAAAAAGAATGCCACCAGAAAGAACTGTAGCAAAATGACGGTTTTGACTGTGCAAGAGGCCAGCCCATCAAGATTCCTGTGGCTGTCTCCAAAATGTCAAATTGATTATAGACAAAGAAGAAAAAAAAAAGAGGAAGTTTTCTTCATCTGGAACTAGAAGTGGAGAACTTCAGACAGCAATTCAGAATTAATGTATTTCTGGTTTAAAAGGGGAAAAAAAATCAGTGCCGACATCTGCCACAGAACTGAAGTACTTTCTCTTTGGGGTTGCCTGCAAAGACAACTGACATGGTGGAACCAAGAATTTGAAATCTATGAGCATTCAAAGGAAGTAGGAAAAAGGTGTCTTTTGGTTCAATCATATGTGATGCAAAATCAGAACTACTTTCAAAACTTTATCACATAGAGGACACACACACAAAAAAAGAAGCATTTGTATCCATTTTTTACAGAGGAATGATTTCTGCATCTTTTTCCAATACCAGACTGTAGTAGTAGTATTATTTGTATTTCAAGATGGATTCATTACTTGACACTTTCGTATTTGATGTGCTTGGTTATATTATAAAATACAGAGATATAAAGCTAAGAGTTTTTTGTTAAAATTGTTTCTGTGTATCTGCTTCTCCTTAATTCTTAAATAGATTAAAAACTGTGATTAGCGAGAATACTTAATTGAAAAATGTGTAAATGTAAAACTGAAATCTGAAACTGGGTTTTCTCTCCAAGGACTTGTGGATACATACGTGTTTATTTTAAAAAACAGTCTGAAGTTCGTTTTTTTTTTTGCTCAAATAACCTCTCTTCGGTGAGAGAACCATTTCATATATGAAACAAAGCATCGTATTTTCAAGACTCTGTTTGCARTTTTCCTGCCATTTTGAAAATGCTGCCCTTAGCATATGGAGTTCCAGTGCCATTTATGATGAAAATGAGCTCTTGGATTATCTGAGAGAGGTGTTCCTTAATACTGCTTTAAAGGATTACAGTATCAAATTCACACATTTAATTGCTATTTTAGAAATTAAAATAATTATCAGCTTGACCCAAACAGTTCTACCTAGGATATAAAAAATAATTTTTGCTTGTCATCTAACAAGATATTTTTGAAAAATCACAAAATMGCTGAATTTTAAAATGAAACAAAAAATGCTTTCAGTAATAACATTACGCAAAAATTCATGCAGCTTGTGTATTTGCTTTGAGAAGACATGCAGAATACTGTATACTATCAAATTTTTATCAATGACTTTGATTCTGCAAACATTTATACAAGAAGTCATATTCATGAGTTAACATGTACATAAGACACTTGAATGATTCAGGCTTACAGTTTGCAAATTATTAATTGCAGATAATTCTGCACACCTTTTAAAATGAAGAACAGGCTTATACACATTTTTTGATCTTTTGTTAAAACATGAAGGCTTACTTTGAAGTACAAAATGTGACAAAGAGCTGCTTTTCTTTTTTCTTGAAATGTTTGCTTCAGACATTTGCTGAATAAATGTAAGAAGATTATACACAGTCTGAGCTTGTGTTGTCTAGACAACACATTTAAATTTAAAGACAAAAACTGCAAAATGGTTCAACTCCCAATGTGTGAAGACTTATGCACATGGCGAATATTATAAAAGAACGAGTCTGATTGACTTACTTCACTAAGTTATTAGCATACACAAAGTTAAATATGTGATTATCAAGCAGCTGGGCTTCAGTCTGTAATATTAGATAATTGTCTTGATTTACAATATTAATACAGTTTTAATATATATTCTTGACCTCAATATGGCTTGTTTGTACTGACAAACTGATCAGCTGCAATACCAAATAAAAGACCTATGTTCAGGTAATATGAGTTTATTTTATTGGTTAAATAGCAACTAAAAACACTTCTATAATTAATTCTACAAAAAAAAATTGTTACCTGTCTATTAGCTAGGTGTATTAGCTCTATAAAGCATACGGAGAGAGACACCAGCCTTTTAATATTTGCTTTTGGGGGATGCTACTGTGTTCATTTAATTTCAAAAGATGTTTCTTCTCTTCTATCAGAGAATATTTAAATTGGCTTTTCATACCACTTTTCAGGGACATACAATGTATGTCCTACAATGTTAACCACGGTAACATTAAAAACAAACATTAAAAAACAAACAATATTTTCTTCTTAAAAGCTCCAGAAAACACCACTTCTACCTCTGTAACAAAAGACAAGATATAAAACAATATATAATCTCCTCTGCCCTACACAGCTAACCTTTGGGACTGATTTATATTCTTCTGCCTTGGTGACTTAACTCTAAGACAGTAAAACCCTGAGGCATGTCTGTACTTACACAGCAGCTCAGTTTCACCTTATCCCAAACAACTTCCTGAGCTATAAAATCTAAGAATTTTTACCCAAAGGACTTCTTGTTCCTCCTTGAAGCTGTATGTCATGCTAAGAGATGTCCTCTCTTTTCCTGGCTAAGGGATGAGTGACAAACTGTTAGGATGCCCAGTACAGTTAGCAGGTCAACCCTACACCAGCAGGTAGGATCCAGTATGTACTACTAAGAGAGCCTGAGGTGATGTCTGTGTTGTCTTAGCTGTGCTTGAGCATGCCTTTGAGTTCCAAAGCTATTCCATGTATATAYTTGGATTGAACTGGAGAAGACTGGCATCCACATTCAAGAAGCACAGAGTCAAAACTACAATTCCCTCAACTRCCGCTGTCTGCCCTCTTTGCAATATTGTCTCCCTTCCTTTAAACAGCGGCTTGGAGGAAGACRGCTATGGTCTCCTTGAGGTGCCATGCATTATTACTCTTACCTTCACACAGCATTGAGTGCAAAACTGCCAGCTTTTGCAAGGTCCAACAGGTTCTAATTGCCATAAGCAGTCTATAACCCTTTTTCCTCTGCTTCTCTTAACGCTTCCCGGGTGTTTAGGTGCCTGGCTTCAAGGTCTGCTTTGATACAACAGAGCTGTGTAAGCTTGGATCCAACTGCTGTGAAAATAGCTAAACCACAAACAAGAGCTTTGAGAAGCCTCATCAGGGATTTCCACCCCATGTATCCTTTGAAGCATTGKCTCGGAAGCTGTATTCAGGTCCTTGTCCTTGGCCCTTTCCTGAACTACAACGTGCGCTCTGCCTAGTGTTCACCTGTCCTAGTCCTGACCTTGCCTTGCTGACTTCATGTCCCAATCCGACCTCAGAACTACCTCATCGCTACGGACATGCCTGGTGACTGTTAACTGGACCCTGTTACTGTCACCAGCCCTTGCCTGCTCTTCTTTTCTTGTGTACTGTGTGCTTGCTCTTGCGAGCAGTCTGYTCAGTTGCCCAACAAAACCCTTCAGGACAAGAGGGCCATCTGTGATGCTGCGGTGGGTGTTGTTGTGCCAGTGCATGCCATGCTGCGGTGACACCCCACATCCATCCGGCCCTTCTGGTACCCAGATGGGTGCCACCCTTTGCAGCATGAGCTTTGAAGCATGAAGTATGTGGTGGGTTTGTAACTCTAAGCAACGTCCTAGTTTTATTCATAGGTTTGTAATCAATTGATTTCCAAGAAATCCATGACCTACYGTTTAGCTTTGAGATCTGGAGGGATTCGTTTCACCAGGATCCCTAACTGCAGGACACGATTACAAATACTATTTTCGCTTTGACCAATACAGTTACTGAAAGGGAGAGCCTAGCCCCATAGGGAAAAAGCAGTTGGAACCYGTGCTCATTAGATTTTATGGATATGAAATCAGACTTTCATCAGTAATGGTACAATGTGAAATTTTTCACTCAGTATTTTCTAAGGAATTTACAGTTTTGAAATTTACTTTGATTTTTAATCTTTATGGCATTGGAAATTAAAAATGTACAGAAAGAATCCCTTTTAAAAAACTCCTAAGGAATATTTTTTACATTTGCAGGTATGCAATTATTTTCAGTATATTCTGATAAGTCCTTTAAATTTTTAACTGAACTAGAGGTGAACTAAAAAAAATATTTCATTATTACTCATTAAGCCTCTTGGATATATAAAATAYAGTTTCTGATATAAATGAAACCTTTGATCCCTCCAGAAAATTGAACTATTGTTTATATAAAAGTAAAGGTTCACAAAGCAGAAAAAAAACCTTTTATCTTTAAAGTACCAGRCACATTAGAATT